GGGCCAGAAGCGTCCTGAGTGAAATTCTGCAGAAGATAGATAACAGGGCCAAACTTATTGATGCTTTCGAAGCAGCAATGAGGGCCCACAATCAATATCTTCTGTTCGATTTTAGTAACATTGTCCCCGAATTTTTTATTGGTAAGTAAAAATGACAAGCGCCATCTGTATTGTAATACAGAGAGTAATACTCTTCGGTACATTCCCGAGTATGTTTTTAATAAACGTTTGTTCAAAATAATTCACATTTATTATAAAAAATACATAACAACGTAAATGTCGTAACAATAATAAAATATATTACGTACTTAATTAAAAAGTAAAAAGAGGTAATAAAACACTAGCAAAATTAAAAAATAAATAGTGATCAATAACTCTTTTATATAGAATATAACTAGGTATAGCGATGCTTTAGCTGGCAATGGTACAAATTATAAATGTTTAAATATAAAAAGAATCTCTTACAATTTTTTAATTCAATGACCTCTAAACTTTCTGCCCCATGTCATGTAGTGTTGTTAAACATTAATTAATCGCAAGTAGTAATATAAATACATTTGGTTATATGTACATTAACAGCAGGCAACTAATTTGAGCATAATCTGAAAAGAAAAAATTTAATAAATAGAAACAATTTTTCAGACGAACAATTGTACGATCAGATGACATTTCGTGAAACGTTACTCGTGAGTACTTTCGCCAATATGTCTGAATCCCCCGTTCCAACCCCCGTAGGGGGTATATGTATCGACGTGCAAAAAGCCAAAGGCAGAGGGCCCTTAGTTCGGAGGGACCCCGCTTTCGAACAAGAACTCATAGAAGCCTTAACGTGGAAACACGAAGTGGGGAACACCAAAGATACTGGAAATTGGACAGAAACTTGCAAAACTTGCGAGGAAAATAAATCAGGTAACACATAAAAAACAAAAACCGAAGAAATCATTTACACATTCCGTAATTCCGCCATACTGGATAAATTGCTACGCCATGTTGAATAATTAGATAATTACTTTCATAGTTCGAAAAGGAACTTAAGGATTTTTGATATTATAATCTTAAATGTTGCTAGCCTCTACATATAAGTCCCATAGAAGTAAAAAGTGTCCCAATTCGAAGAGTGACGATCCCAGTCAAGAATCGGTGAAAATCGAACCGACACCGTCCCAACTCAGACTGCTGGAGTACGAATTGGGAATAGGGAATAGCATGCAAAGAACTCAGTGCAAATTTCTTATTCACCAGTCGTCCCAGTTTTATGTAAACGATATGAATGCAGGGTCCCTTCTCACTTCATGGGTCGACAAAAATTTTCACACTTTAGAAGAGAAACGTACCGAGTAAGAATGTCAGCATGAGACATTACAAAGGAGACAAATATGACGAAACGTTTTACAGGTTTCTGGTCGAAAAGGACGGGACAGTAAAAGAAAAAATGTTATTCGTAGCTTTACAAAAGGGAAAATACTACGTCAAAACCCACAGTACTGTAGACGATTCTGTAGAGAAGAAATTTTACAGTTTTCGTGTAACAAAGAACTTCGTTTCGGAGGGTGCAAACTACGTGCTGATGAGATACCTCGCAATCACCCGGTATATAGGTGAATTTGAACTGTCCTCCATGTACATTAATGGAACCATGTGTAGGAATATTTACGTACGAACTACACACCTACAATACAATTCATTGAAACTGATTTATTTATTTATTTTAGAAATGTACAGGGCCGGAAGTGGGAATAGTAAATGACAAAAAGATTGACGTTTGTAAAATATACCGGACGTTGATAGAAGAATGTGGACTGACTCATAACAGTATCACTGTTATATCATTAAATGGCATGTACAGGGTGATAAATGAAATAGAAAATTGTAGGCTGTTTCATTTAAATACCCCAAAAATATGAATGAGTTATCTTTCGGACACCTGCATTTACTATGCTTATTCTCCTATGACCTTTTAGGCCAAATTATCAAACAGGAATGGGAAGAATGTGACTACATCTTACAGGTAAACCCATTCGCCCAAATCAAAAGAAAGCAAAAGCCTGGCAAACTCGAAAGAATTTATTTGAAACACGTTTGGGAGAACGACATGGAACTTTTTTCGCGATATCTCGACAGAAAGGTACCAAAAAAAGGCACCCCATGATACCCTACAGTTCTGACGTTATTAATCCTTTAGGAACAACGCCATTTGAAGCTTATCCAATACCTGAAAGATCACCAAGAGCTCAAAAATATACTGAGCGATTACTTGAGTAGAATTTTAATCATGAAACCAACCGAAGTTATCGATTTTACAGTTGATTATTTCAAGCAGTACGCTCCTGTTGTTATCCCCAGGGAAGAATACTTTGGAGAATCCGAAGAAGAAAGCGTTAGATATGAGGAATCGGTAGAAAGTACCATTAGCATGTTGCCGGAAGAGGAAGAGGAAAAAGACGCTCACGTGCAAGGTACCGAAACGACAATAAAAATAAAATACACTTGACAAACTTTTCTTGTTTGTAGCCATCCAGTATCTGATAAGCTTATCAGACTCGTGTATTTGCGAAGGTGTTTGCTTATGCGATGAAGAAACGCCAGGTAAGCAATAATAAATCTATTTGTAAAAATGTTATAAAAATACATAAACTTGTTTTTGAGAAGAATCCGCAGCTTCTTGCATTTGTGAGGAGATATGCGAATGTTTTGAGGAGGAAGAAGAAGAGAAAGTCGAGGATAATAAACAACCAGAAATACAAGAAGAAGGAATGGATGAAGTACCTCCTGAATCAAAGGAAGAAGAAGAACAACAACAACAGGAAGCACCTAAAGAGGAACAGGAAGCACCTAAAGAGGAACAGGAAGCACCTAAACAGGAACCAGAACCACAAACCGAAACAGAAACGGGTGAAAATCCATCTGAAAATCAATAAATACTAAAAATTACCATTATAGTGAAGATTTCAACATGTATGATACAAATTTGAAGTGTTACTTACATTAAAAATGAAAACATTTTCAATTAGCTGTTATTTCATTTTGGTTGGATAGCAAATAGTACAACTGGTAAAGTCCACAGAGTCCGGTATACAAAGTTCGTGGAAACCATGTTTACAGTTAAAAACTATTACGTTATTATTTCCTGACAAATCTGAAAAATCAAACAAAATTAAAATTTCCTCGTTCTTTAGCAACATTTACCACCCTTTCAAGCCTCCTAACTTTATCTCCCATTCTATTACTTTCTTTTAACATTTCCTAGTCGTTTTAACTCTTATTAACCCAATTATTGTTTTTGCCTATATTATTAACACTAAATCCTTTTTACCTCGAGTAATTATTTTTCGATGACATGCCCCACAAAACACTTCATCTGTGACAGGAATACCCCTCTGCTGCAAATTTACCAATTTCTCGTGTAAATTAAAATAATCAGATAGCAAAATCTTTTTAAAACTCTCTTCTACGGAAGCCTGAAAGAAAAAGGTCCCAGTAACTATTTATCATTCTTGCAAATTACAATTATTATAAAACATCCACCTGCAAGCTGTAATCTTTAAGCATTTTAACCAAGGATTTTTTAAGCCCTGGTATTTCTTTACCATCTTCAATTTGTTCCACCAAAACTATTGGGTTCTGATAGGTTCCTATGTGCTGCAGTAAATATGTGATGTACTCTGCAATAAATGAAATAAATAAGCAAAATAATGTTAAGATTAATTAATTATTTGCCTGGTTTCTTAAGGGCGTGAGTAATCAAATCATTCCAGAGATCATAGTCGTTATGTTCTTTGCAGAATTCGAAGGCCTTCTCTATGTCTTTTAATTCTTCTATAATTAGCTGTAAGGCTTCTTTGGTGTCTCCTATTCTGTCTACATAAAACAAGAATACGATAAACCTTTATTTTCTTTTGTTGTTCTACTATAGTGATACCTAGAAGATAAACCATTTCGGGGTAATATTTTTCTTTCTGGCAAATATCCAGTGCCTCTTGAATAGGGTAATGGTCCGATCTTTTTAAGAAGGGGAGCAATTTTGACCTTTCAAAAATAGCATACAAACGCACCAACATACCATGATATTGGTATTTCTTCTCTTTCTTGTCCAGGGCGTCTAAATACTAATAAAAAATGAGAGTTTTACTCCTAAGTTCCACATACACCAAGTAGTAAGATGTTATACGTAATATTTTTGCTCACCCTGTACAAGTACAATTCATGATTTTTTAGTTTTTCTACGACAACCTCGGATGGTACATGTTTCTGTTGCAAGAGTAACTCAATCGTTATTTCGGGATTCAGATCCATTAATTCTATTATCATATCATGTATTACATTATACAAATTATGCTTTTTAATTAAATTAAATACGTCCACGTTCTTTAATCTGAAAAAAAATAATATGATAATTATAATGAGAAGGATAATTGATTTGTCTCATTAAATAAAAAAGAATAGTTTATTTACTTGAGGTACATTGATAAACTTTTGTCGTATTTTCGCTCGTAACTGTACATACAATTCATTGAAACTGATTTATTTATTTATTTTAGAAATGTACAGGGCCGGAAGTGGGAATAGTAAATGACAAAAAGATTGACGTTTGTAAAATATACCGGACGTTGNGTTCTTTAATCTGAAAAAAAATAATATGATAATTATAATGAGAAGGATAATTGATTTGTCTCATTAAATAAAAAAGAATAGTTTATTTACTTGAGGTACATTGATAAACTTTTGTCGTATTTTCGCTCGTAACTGTACAGCATTGCAAGCGCCTCTAAATAAATTTCTTTTTCGTAATCGCTAACTAGAAGACGTTCCAAAACGGCGTTTATTACAGCGTAAGTATTATAGAGCTGGGGGTTCCATTCCTTCACCAAATTCAGAAAGCCCTGAAAATTTTAATAACTAAATTATTAACATAAACACCTAGGCAGTGTAAGCGTAAGTTTAACTTAACTAAACGTACTTTTGCATCCATTTGTAAATATTCGTACAGGACCATTTCATAAATATGGGGATCTAACTTAGATTCTAAAGTTCGTGGAATGTAGGGACTAACAGACCTGCAATTACAATTAAATTCGAAAGAGTAGGAACACAAGAGACACATTAAAATTTATAGCGATCGTTTACATGCCTGAGTTGAGTAAGTTTCGCAAATTTGAAAATCTGCTCTCCCCAAAGTTTCTTTTTATTTCCAAATATCTTCAGACACAGCCTGCCTGCAGCATCGAACTGTTTTTTATTCAACAAGTGGTCGAGATAGGCTATGCCCACGGATTCAATGGTAAAATTTTTAGCTTCTTTTCCATTATTTCGACTAATTGAATCCAAGGCTTCTTCAAACTTACTTAAATTAATAAAAACTCACATAATAAAAATAAAAATGCTATGTATATTAAAACGATTCAAATTTGTGGGGGGGGGGGCGAAACCTTACTTGTGCTGAATGAGCCACTGTATTCTGTCGTCCAAATCGTATGGACTGGCAACAACCACATCCCTCGGAGCTACAATAAAAAACCTGTTCTCGTCTATTAACACGTCTACATGATAATCATTTACTTTGTACTCTTGGTAGCCCCTTAAAGACAAACTGTCTGTACAAATATCGATGTAGTCGTTGTCTCTGTACTCAACTATGTACAATTGAGGCCTAAGAGACTTTTGGTTTTGATCAAGCTCTTTGGAGAAGCCTAGCAGCACTAGCTGATGATCCAAAGGGGCTATGCCACTTATGTAAAATTCAGTCTTGAAAGTTGATACTGAAATTGCAAGTTGTTTACTGCATTTTTATTTTTGTTTGTATCAGGATCCTACCAGGATCAACTAAATACTCTGGCAAGTCCCTGTTTGCAAGTTCTATATTACTCCTTTTCCTAATAACACAGACTCTCACTGTGTCGACCCAGCCAATTAGGAGTGTCCTGGAGTCTGCCCACCTCAAATTGCACTTAAATTTCTCTATTGCCATTCTACAAAAGAAAACTTTTACCATGAAGACTCAAAACAGGAGTGCAACAGTTACCCCATTGGCCTTTCCCATTTTATTAGCCCTAATGAACATCTGGCATTTATGTCATAAACCCTAACTCCAATGTCACTTGAGAAAGCAATAAAATTCTCCCCCCAACACAAGCTGCGTACCGCTCCCTCACTCTCACAGAGCAATGTAGATTTCAATCTACCCAGAAAGGGCCATGTTCTCTCATGTAGAGTTAATTTATCACTCCCTAAAATTGTTGTAGATTAAGAAAAAAATAACTGGGGATAAAAATTAAACTTTGCCTGTTACAAAACGTCTGTTTGAGCCAGGTTTGTTATAATTCGGATCTAAAGCTACTGTTTTAATGGGCCTGTCCATGTTCATGGTATAGTTGCCATCATCTGAATATAAACTATGAATAAAAACTTTTCCATCATCTGAACATGTGGCTATAAAGTCGCCATTTGAATCAATAGATATCTGGTTAACAGCCACTGAATGAGCTCTAACTCCTTTGCCTTCGATCTTGTCTCCTTGGTGGTCTAAAATATGGATAACACCCCAATGTGATCCCAAACAGATGAACTAAAACCACATGCACATTAAAGGGGGGCCAACAGCAGTGTTACAAACATGAAAACAATACCTTAGGATGCACTGCTATACAACTGGCAGCATCCTGAGGTAGTATACTTTGCAAATCATTTGAAAGCCTACAATACTTTAATTTGGGTTCAATTTCCTCTTCCAAGCTCTCTGTATCGCTGTTTGTATATTCTGAAGTGAAGTTTTTGAAATCCATCTAAAAGTTTATTCTCTGTGAGTCATGCAAACAATAGGGGCAACAAACTTACATTTGGGTTTGCATCCTGACCATTAATTTTTGTATCCATTCCAGGTTATTACTGTGGCACTTATCATTTTCGAATTTGATCCTGTCTAAGCTGTTTTGAATAAGATAATAAATAAATTAATATAAAATGATAACCGCACTATTAGCTGTCAACTTGACGTTACTTGTCTTATAACCATAACCTCAAAATTTTAAACGTCAAGGGTGGAATAATTTGAACTTTTTGTGTTATTTGATGTCCTTTTATTACGTATTAAACCCTTGAAAACCATGTTAAAGACAATTCTGCACAGTAATCCACCATCAAAGTTCATTTTAATTGAAGGTAAATACTGTTAAATACAGAAGAGGCAATTAATATAACTCTTGATTCTAGACAGTCTAAAAGAAGGGGGCACAGATGTTTTAAATTATCTTATTCACCTACACACAGAGCAACATACGGAGGTTCATCATTTTATATTTAGTGGGAATTTTGAAAAGCAGAAACATTCAAATCCAAGGGTTAAAACATATGATTTTACTAGTGATTTCCAAGGGTGGTTTTCCCAACAGAACCCTAATATAAACGACATTGTCGAGGGAATTAGTACCAAAACTGTTGTAGTGATTGATTCTTTAGCCCATATGATTTTTCAGTACGGTGTTTCTCAATGTTATAAATTAATTAGATATTTAAAAGAGAGACCAAGTAAGTAATACAGGGGAAGAAATGGCTGATTTAATTATAAATGGTTTTTAAATAATAATATTTACAGATATCATACAAGTTGCCACTATATTGCACACAGACCTGGTCGAAAGTGTTGATATTTTGCCCTTTTTTGAACATCTGTCCACCTTTTGTATGATAAGAGAGCCCCAATTTAATAAAACCAAAAAAAGGGTGTCCTGCATTTACAAGAAGCCAAGTGGTAAAATTACAAGACTAAAAGATGAGTATTATTTTAATGAGGGTCAATTATTTAGTGCCACTATTAAAACTGTTAATCCTGATGTGTTAGTACAGCAAAGTATCAACCAAATGTTATCAGATACACTAACAACCTTTAGATTATCTCTTGATGATAAAGAGAGGGAATCTAGGGATAAAGTGGTGTTACCATTTTTACCTAAGTAAGTTAAATTTATTATTCTTTGACTGACTCTTTTCAACTATTTTGTATATTTTTTAATTAGGGAAGTTACCCCCGATAAAGAAGAATCTGGGGGTAAGATAACATACAAATTTGACGAGGTTGATGATTGGGATGAAGAAGATCCAGATGATGATCTTAACATATAATTTTTTGTTATTCAGTTCCCATATTATTTGTTTTAGCCTGTATTAAGTAATAAATAATAAATATCCTTTTTATATGACAGTATTGACATTTTGTTGTAATTGCTTATTTATTTCTTGTCATCCTTTTTGAAAATGTCTTGCGATAAAAAGTTTCAACCTTTAACTCAAGATCAAATTCAAAAAACGATTATAGCTAAGCCCCAGGTGAAACATGATGTTTACGATTTTCTTAATTATTCTGAAAAATATCGAGATGAAGAGTACGAAATGTATTGCAAAAAAAACAATCAATTTTTGGACTGTGCAAAGCAGTATCTATTGGAAAACAGAAAAGTTTTAAACAGTTCTAAACCAAGAGTCACTGACACACTTGACGATTTTATGCAAAAAAAAATTGAGATTGATGAAATTACTAATGTAAGTCCTTATAAAAAGTATAGAAAATCAACTAAAAGCAACAATTATCAAATACTAGGAAGAAGATAAAGATCTTTCAAATGGAGCACTTATCAGAAAACGAAGTTTAAGAAAAATTCATGAAGTAATAACAGATAAAAATATATAAAAAAAAATATAAAAGCTTCACATGCATTTTAGGTCATCACTCGTGATGTAGAACAATGTAGCACTGACCCCTGGTTTAGAAGATATATAATTCTTAACAGATTTATTCATGTTGCTAGAAAAGTAATTTTACAAAACAGATTATTAAAAAGACTCGCTATTTTAAAGAGCTTAACCGATGATGATATCGAAAAATTAGAACAAAGTGGACGAAAATATGCTAACATTTCCTATGAACACCTATTTGAACGTTTTGTTATGTAGAAGTAAAACGAAATAAAACTTTGCCATGTAAACTTAGAAAGTTGCGCTCGTTTAAAATTTGGCGCCAATAGTGTGGGTTAAATTATCTACCATGTTGGAGTTCAAATGACGCACAAGGAAGTAGTTCCAATAGAATGACAACAGCCAGTAGTTTAAACGTCCTAACCTAAAAGTAAAATGGCTCAAATTTTAATTAATAAAGTTTTAAATAATGAAATAAGCTTAGAAAACCTTCAAAATTGGATTCTACATGATGATGTAAGTTCTTTTCACAGTTATATGCAGTCAACAAATTATATTATCATTTTTTACAGGGCAAAATTACTAGTTTACGTACAGATAGTTTCAACACTTCTCCAGAAGATTTTATATCTTATTTTTTAAATTTTATCCACGAAAAGTCTGTAAGGTAAGTGCTCTTATACATATTTAATTGTAAAAAGTGTTACTGGATTCTAAATGCTTCATTATAGTGAAGAAAAAAATAGTGAAGATACCCCTTTAAAATGCAGCACACCAAAGCAAAAAGAGAGAATAATTTCAAAATCATTTGACGAGGACACTAAAAACTGGCCCCAATTGCTTCCTGAACCTCAGAACGTTTTAAAATCACCAAAACAGTTTTTAAAATCTACCCCTACAGACTTAAAAAAGACCCCCATAAAAGCCACCGAAAGTCCTTATCGGTTGGAGGAAATCAGTTGTCATATATTAAACATTTCGAATCCAATTTCACCCCTTCACAGTTACTCAAACGGTTTTGCGTCCCCTAAAGTCAAAAGACCATTACAATCACCCAAGTCGTGTGATAAAGTATCGAACATATGTTTAGGGGATTTTTTAGTCAAGCCTAAAATTTTAAATAAAAAACGTTCCCAAAAGAAATTAAGCGACACCGAATGTGGCGATGATCATAAAGATCAAAATGTTAAGTCGCGCAGAATAAATCCTACGTGTTTAAGTAAAAAACTTAGCGAAATTGAACAAACAGGAAATTGTTTTAATTTTAAATCGAATTCTGCGGAAGTACAAGTAGAAAACATCATCGAACAAAGGAACGTTTTGTTAGAGGAAAGAATAAAAATACTTTCGCGCACAAATTCGAACGATCATTTTCAAAAATTACCGGTAAAAAAGATCCAACCGTTACAGTGCGGGGAAAAACCTGAAATCGTCGCTGAAATTAGCAACGTAACGTTCAAGAAACAATTAGACAAAATCGCATCGATCTATAGTTTTTTATTGCAGCGCAATTATGTGTTAAACATAACTGCGGAATTGTGTTTCTTGATTACATTACTCCTTCAAAAGCAGCAAGAGCATTCGGAAAATCACCCCATGAAAGAAAATTTCGACAAACCAGAGATCATATTTTGCAATCCCCACAACAGAGTGTACTTTTCTGCAAAAGTGCTTGAAAATAACATATTCCTTTTTTATATATTAGACAGACCCTCGTTAAAATTACTATTGGACAATAAAAACTTGAAAAACTTTTCTCATTCGACTCATAAACAGATAGAAACGATTTACGAATCGAAAGTCGAAAAACCGATAGAAGTACTGAAGGCTGATGCAGACCTCAATGTCTGCTTCATATCGGACACGGACAACAGAGAAAATTTCGCCTCGAATCTTTCTTTTCACGCGTTCAGGAAGCAAAGGGACGTTTTCTACGAAATATTACGTATTTGGGAAACGAATCACTTGTTACCAAATTGGAATTTTGGTGTTGCGCTCGGAAGTAAAATTAAATATATTTTTAACATGCATCCAGATCCTACAAATTTCATGCACTTCTGCAGACTGTTCAAAGCGCAACTTTTAAAAAATTGTGTGAAAAACGGGAAGGTAATAATTGATATCAGTACGTAAATGTCTAAAGAGCGGGTGTAATTCGCAGATTACGTCATTATCAGGGGTATACTTAGGACTATTTACTACTGTTTGTGTAAACACACACTTTCAATTGCCATGAAAAAAATATGATAGATAGGTACGCCATTAGCGCCCCCCTGGGACACCCCAGAGCCCCCTATTTGCCCCTAGATCCATAACCACCCCTATGGAAGGCTGTACTGCCCACTGGGGGGCGGTGCCGCTATCGTCGGCCTAAGTACGGCCGTTATATCCGCAAAAGACGCCCGCTCTCTGTTATAATGCCTCATGGTATATACGGGGTGATTCAAAAAATGAAATAGATTACTTTCAGGAAGTCGAAAGTAACGAAAACGATTTTTCGACCTTGTCCTCCCTTTCTGGGATGACTTCGGAAAAGTTTTCTTTACTAAAAAGCAGAATAACAACAAAACAATTCAGCAATGGAATAAATACTACTCCGACGTTCACTGACCATCAGGAATTTTATAAAGAATTCCTGATAGTTGCCAGCAATTATACTTTCTATTCCCATCTCAAAGATCAATTCATTTCCGATATAATAGAACTTAACGATTTTAAATTTGACGACTACGAAATAGCCAACGATAAAACGGGTAAATTTTGTTGCCTATTTTTTTTTAAATATATTTGTATTAGTATTCTTTTAGAAACTTACTCAAATTCTTCCGCAAAAAAGTCGTTTATAGTGTGCTTAAAGTCGTTGAGGATTTTGGCAAAGTTTTTGGGCTTCTTGCAGTCTTTTCCGTACAAAAACGACGCCCCTGGTAACATATTACCTGCAAAAGTTTTAAAATGTCAAATAGAAATCCGAAGTCAGGTAGGAATAATGATAAAATATATAATTACCTATAATAAGTGTAAATATTCGTACCGAAAACTTGAGTCCGGTACTGAATTTTCTACAATTCCTTCCAGTGGCGTACCATCCGTTTCGAAGTTGTATTTCGTAACCATACATATACAATAAATAGAAAAAGATTTCCGCTTAACTATTACTTGTATCAGAGTTATAGAATTTAATTAACAGCGTACCGGAATTTTCTTGTCTTCTTGTGTTTTTCGATATAGAAACATACGAACTTTTTGACAACCTAAAAATAAAAAATTGCCATTCACTTTACCTACTTTAATAAACATTTGCTTTACATTTTTTATATTTGACGCTTTTGTTAATGGATTGCATGGTGCTGCAATATCTGCAGCGAACTGCGAGTCACTTGTTTTCACTTTCCCAACAAAACAATAAATTCTTTTTTTTTTTGCCGAATAAATATAACGGTCAAGTACGACACATGATCTAAAAAACGATTTAATTAAATAAATTTAATGAGTTTAATTTAACCGTAACACTACCCTGTTGCTACGTCACTGGAGAGTTAAATGCACAGGCCCGTACTGACTTTTTTGATTTTTAAATTTATTTCGTCTTTGCCATTGTTAGAGAACAGATAAACTTATTTAGAATGTTTTACTTACAGATCCGGCCTAGTTTGAATTTGAAAAGTATATTAGAAAATTCAATAAAAAATAAAACTTTAGTGATAACGGTACCGTGGGTGACGAAATACATTTCAATGTTAGATTATGTTGAATTAAGGCTTCCTAGATTTTTAGAGGTCTACGAAATTTTATTCTATATTCACAAAAGTTTCTCTCTTGACGAAACGGTTTCGAAAACATATTTATTTTCAAATGCAAATTTTAATTTATTCAGTGTCATTTTAATTAAATTGTGTTTGGGATGGTTGTTCGACCTGCCCCATTTCCCGGAAAGTTTATATTACGAATGGTGTTTTAAAAACGGTGCTGCATCAAAAGCAGCCCAGAGCTCAATTTTTTTAAACACTGCGGTCGATTCTTTCGATAGTTTAGATGTTGTTGATCAAAATATTTTACATATTTGTTGTCCCTATCTCGACGAAATAAAAAAAATATTGTCCAGTAGCAGTAATGCCTTAAATTCGAACAGTAGGGTCAAACATATAACTCCCGTGACTGCAGTGTCCTCTTCTAGTGAGTTAATGAAGAAAAAAGTACAAGTAAGTAAAAGTGTAATATAAAAAAAATATATTTAAAGGTGTGGTGGTATTTCAGTACCAATTGGAAGAAGCGTTTTTTAATGGTCAACCGGCTTCTGTTAGAAAAACAGTTGAATTTGTTAGTGAACGTGTTGCTTCCGCCTGCGTTAAACAAATTTGTTACGAAATTGTGCCAGAGTTTAAGAGGAAGGCCCAGGAGGACCTCAAAGATATTTTATTAAAATTTGTTAACGACAATGTCTCAGAAAATGAATTAAATGTAACGTATTCTTTTGGGAATGGGGGGCGGGGGGGCATCGTGAAATAAATTTAACATTTTTAAAATTCCAGGCAGTTGTTAGGACAAAAATAAACGAATTTTCCGTTAAAAAAGTTAGCGAATTAGAAGAACTGATTGAAAATACTGTCGATAAACAAATATCAGATCGAGTACCTGTTTGTTGCGATTTGTTGCTTTCTTTTGACGCTTTACCACAAACAAGAAAAGTTTGCGGAGTTATTTCTTGTAGAATGTGCAAAGAAAAGGTTTCGGAATGGGTTAAGACCCACATCACGGCAAGTACGTCGTCAATATATTACGTAAGTGTGATGTAAAAAATTTTTACAAATTTTCAGGCACCTTTTCGAAAGATTACGAATCGGTTGTTAAGGGCATAAGGGGCAAATGTGAAAAGGGCACCAGATTGGACTTTTTACCGTGTGAAAGTCATAATGATAACGCGTTAGGACCTGCCACCCTGTTAGACCAGATAAGGGTAGATATCTTTTGTTTCTTTGCGAAATTAAGTGTTTACCTAATATCATATTCTTGAAGGGTTTTATTTGGGGTTTGATGGACAAACCCCAAATTGTGACCCCTTCTGCCATTAGGGATTTATTCGGGACGATTTCTACGACGTTTCGTCAACGGGAAGACGTCAGCAAGTTCAGTTATCATGCAGTCAACCAAATGACAGTGGATTTGGTATTAAATTTGGGTAAGTCCTTTTTGTTTCATATATAATTACTGTTTTGGCTGAAAGTTTTATAACATTTTAGTAACGCACGTGCCTAAGCTGACGGATAAAATTTTTATAACCGAAGTCGTGTTACCGTTTTTCAAAAATATTGACAATTCCGACGATTTGTTCGAAAATTTAATTTGCCCGCGGAACGTAATGCTCTTGGCCCAGTCCCCCGAGGGTCAGAGTTCGTGGAAATGTCTGGCTGTTTTTTTAAGTTTAATTTTAAAGGAACATCTCATGTCTCTGGAACAATTCGAAGCCCAAGTTGTGGCACTGTATAAAAATTCGTGGGACGAGGTAAATAAATAAATTTTTTATTTTGATTTTCGATTTTTAATGTAAATATTTTTTTTGGGGTTGTTTAGGCAACGCTAAAAACCCTTTCGCGGTTTTACCAGGACGTCATCGATACTTGTAGCGAATGGGGGGAATGCACTGAAGATAAATTTGCATTTTTAATTAATTTTTTATCAGAATATTGCTCAGACTTGTAATCTGTTCTTAAGATTAGCTGTTTACAATTTTATATCTATTTTAGTTTTACATGCGTTTATTTGTAACTTTTAACGTTGTTTCAATTTATTGAAATAAATATTTTACTAAATTTCAGTTGTTTCATTTCTTTCTCGAAATAAAAGAAAAACGTTTGCTAGAACAAATGAAAATGTAACACATGAAAAAAAAAGACTATTCCTCTTTAAACAATTGAGAAGTAACAAAATTATATGTATTTGGGTACTTACAGCAGACATAAACTAAAATGTAACATAAAAAAAAACCTTTTGAAAACTAAATCCTCTTCTCAAGGTAACATAAGGGCATACGCCTCCCTCCTCAGGAAATTCAAAGTACAAATATTTTAAAAAAAATATATTTTTTCATTTTAAAATTCAGACACGAACGAACCACTCACTCACTCGAAAATTTACTAATTTATTGTACAGTAGATGAAATAGAAAATGCAACAACACTCGTTTGTTTTCTAATTTTTGTGGAAGAACCTAATAAATTCCAAGTGAACATCAGTCATGCAGATGTTTAATTTCTTTTGGTCAAATATTTTTTTAAACACCCTATAGTCTCGTCATCTTGCTCGGTACAGTCATATGCACCATCGCAAATTTTTTCCAAAGGAATACAAGAACCACCCCTGCAAGGATATTCTTCAGGCAAACAATCTGTAATTAAACACACAAAAAAAAGAATTGGAAGCGAATAAGTAAATTTGAATAAATTTACCTTGATCATAGCAACCCTTTTCGTCAGAGGCGTCCCAACAATCAATTCTTCCGTCACATTTTTTGCTTATTTTTAAACAGGAAGTAGCACTGCCGCAGCGAAAATGAGTATTTAAATTGCACTCTAAAACAAATTACTTTTTGCGAACACTGAGTATACAAATATTTAGCGAAAGACTTACCACAATCAGTCTCGTCAGACTTATCAATGCAATGTATGTATCCGTCACACATTTGTGTTTTATTGATGCACATATTACCGCAATTGTGTTGATTTTGGGGACATTGCAAGCCCAATTTATCGGGCAAACATTGAACCAAGCGCGCTTTCGCGTCTAAAACTTTACAGTACTCCGAATTAATTTTACAATGACCTCCGCACCCCGTAGGGTCGTTTTTGTTTACTATTTTGACACAAACAGGGGTGCGTGATGTGTTCAAACAAATTTCGTTCGATTTACATGCACCACAAATCTTTTGCAAGGGACTTTCAGTTGTTATTTCAATCTGAAAAAAAGACAATCAAGAAAATATAACAAAATCTTTTGATAGTTATTTGTTTACCTTCGTTTTGTTTTCTTTGCGGTTGTTATATTCAGGAACTTTTTGGACAGCTCCCGTACTAAGTTTTTTTGTGTTATTTTCTAAACGTGTTCTGTTATTTTTTAAATTTGGCACTTCGTTGGGGTGAAATATTTTGAAATATTTGGCATCTAAAATTAGTCTTACGTGATTAAATGTATTTCTAAGGGTTGGGGTGGTAGTACCAGGAACAATAGCACGAAGTTATTTATAGCGGTCGGTTTATTAAATCAATTCAATTTTTTTGTTTTTGTTTGGATTCAAAAAGCGTGGAAATTTTTAATTTTCCATGGAAATTCTCGAATACAAACAAAAAACGCCGGTCCACGTGGACTTATAGATTGTAACTGAGAGTTTCTTACCTACAAAGAAGACAATTCCAAAAACGACTGCAATTATCAAAGAAAATGCAACGAGCAAGTACACAACTAATTTCCCACTACTTTGTCTTTTGATTCCTTCGACTTCGTTGATTTTCAAAATCCATCTGTGGCCGAAAATATTCTTTTTGATTATTTTGTCTTTGTTTATTTTGTTTTCTAACGTTTCCCGGGTCAGGGTGAAAATTTCCATGTTCCTGTGCCGGTTATTTCGATCGTAATAGTAAACCTTGGTGAGTTGAACGTTTGTGGAACTTTTCACAACCATTTTCGCGAAAACTTCGTGACAGACAAAATAACTACGACACCTTCATGCCTTCGATACAAACAAAATTCGAAGGAAGTATATAAAAATGAAAACGTGTGCCATATGTTTCCGGAGGACCTGGCGCGGAAAAAAAAACCCTTTGCGTTCGATGTCAAGGGGTTACAAAGCACAATAATTAACAACACGCTTCCTACACAATATACAGTAGTGGCGAGTTGACAACCACACGAAAAACTTACATTTTTTGATTAGCAGTAACTAACACGAAAAGTGCGATATTGACATTGAAAATGTACTTACCCCAAAAGACTGATAGAATTTTAATAGAAATCGCTGTAAATAGTTATTATTTTAACGCTAATGTTAAAAAAATTAGTAAATCAGTAGAAATTTAAGTAGATGACGATGACTAATTAAATCGTGTGAAGTCTTATATGTAAGTATAGGAAAACATCTGCTGAAAATGGCTGTAATTCAATACCTATTTGCCAGAAAAAAATAATTAACCCTGTAGACGCCCTTCTGATTTGTTTTGGATGAGTCAAACCGAAGAAAATGGAAATTAAATGTTTCTGCAAGGGTTGATAATAAAAATACAATAAATAATACGTAGAATTTTCTAGTGGTACCAAAAAATATGAAATAATTCTATATACGGGGTACGTTCAACAAGTTTTGCTGTAATTACAAAAGGTAGGTAAATGTTAGTATATTTTTGGTTAATTCGTGCAAATTATTTATTATCACAATATTTATTTACACCACTTACACAGGCTAAAAATTTGTTATTATCAAATAATTAATAACACTAACATTTACAAATAGTGCAGCGAAAAGTACGAAGACATAGAAGGCCAATAATGGATAACAAAAGTCAAAAAATTACAATACAAATAAATTTCCGTCCAGAAACAGGGGAAAAACAGATCAAGTCTTCTCGGTCTTTCCGTGTCTTCGTATGATAGTGTTTTATCAATTGCGTTAATAAAAAGGCGTTTAACAGATATATATTTTACAATATTAATAATTTAAAGCATTTATTTACATTCAAAATACTTCCCTAAGTTTAAAATAAGTACATGCGTCACGTCATAGTTAGCCGCAATGATAATCAATTGTTTACTTATATTTATTATAAAAAAAAAAACGAGAACGTTGTTGTTATTCTTTTGTTTCAAGTAACAACGGAAAACGATAAACAAAAAGGCATTGCTTCATAGACGAAACTTGTTAGATTTACAGTTAGTTAATTCTTCTGCGACAAATATTAACAGTGAAATACTTTTACTTATTTATTGTAATAATAAATTATATTGCGGCTAACAATTATAATAATTAGAAGATATAACAGGCTGAAGAAGATTATTGTTATCTTTTGTCCTTATAATGTGACTGACTTTATGCAAAAATACATTTTTAGCTATCAGTAAATACTCATTTGAGCTAACCAATACTTTTTAATATATTTATACGAAAACGTTCTTGAAGAGGTTAATATTTAATATTAAACTGAAATTGACTGTCTATACTCTAAATATTGCCCCAAATTAATAGAAAAAAATTGTTGCTGCTGTCATACTCTCGCCGGGAATCGAACCCAAACTCTCTGGTTTTACGTACTACTACTCTACCGCTAAGCTGCTGTAACCTCTCATAACTTAGTGGTAGAATTCGATTCCCGACGAGGACGTAACAGCAACAACAATTTTTCCCCATTACTTTGGGGTAATATGTAGACCATAGAATGTTAATTTCAGTTTAATGTTTAATATTTTTTCGTATTTACTATTTAATTGGACCAAGGAAACAAAACTGTTCGTTAATTAATTAATTAATATTTCTTCTCTTTTTTCTTTTTGTTATATTAAGTATTACTGTTATTTTATTAGGCAATACAGATGAAGCTAACAATGGTAGGTAAATATGATATATTTTAAATATTTTGTGACGTCGTGATATGTATAAATTTTTAGCAATAATCAAATAAACAATATCGTCAAACGAAAGCAAAAATATTGTAAATGTATGTATGATACAAGCACCTGACATATGAAATGCAAAAAAAAAATACGTAGTACTCACTTATGCCATATTTTGTTTAGTGTTTTATTTTACTTACCATTGAGTATTAAGTCAAAAATATTTTTTTATTTAGTATAATACTGCATAGTAATTGTTTTTGGGCCAAAGATTACGGAGACATTAAAATAGATACCAATTTTTCGTAAAGGTTGAAGGGCAATACTAAAGGAAGACTTATTTTGTGGACATTTTTTTCAATAAAAAAAATTAATATTTTTTTATTGTCCATTTGACAAAAGAATCAGCACTTGTTCGTCATCTCCGATGTTTTGAAATTCAATTGTTTAATTCACTTACAAGTAAAAACAAAATATACAACCGAACATTTTGTACTTCTTTTAGCAGGCTTTATTTTATTTTATTGGCGTTTATGTTTTAAACGAAGCATGCGACGAAAAATGAACGAATGATCTACGTTATCTGTATATCCAGCATACCGAGTTCGATCAAAAAGTAAATGTACAAGCTTATATTGTAGTGGGACGTATAATTTTATTATGGACTAGTACGTATGTAACTTCCTTGCGAAACAATATTATCGTCGAATAATGCGCTAATAAACGAAATATTCTACCAAGTGACAACTAAAGTAAGTAAACAATTATTATTATTATTGTTATTAGATATTACCCCCACCCTTTAAACATGAAACAAACGAATAAATAAAAACAAAAGTCAAACGGCCCCCTACGATTGTCACTTACTTCGGCTGTCACGATCAACAGACGAATTTATTTATTTAGTTTTTTTGATTATATTCTTTTTTTTTTTAAATAATGGCGTATAACACTCAACTCCGCAAAACAAACGAACGGGCAACTTAGTTTTTGCACACAAGCACCTTAAATTCCTAATAATTAATAATTCGTCGAGAAAAACAAAGAAAAACAATACCACACTAGAAACAAGATGGCCGATCATGGCCACTTTCCCAAACAATAAGAAAACAAATGAAGGAAACCGTTCACCAATCGATACTCTGAAATATTACGTATTATTACAAGACTTTCGATATTTTTTTTTTAATCAATTGGATTTTCAGTTAAGTGGCCATGTTCTTGGAATAAAAATCTAGTTATCCGGTTATCAGTTACGCAATCGAACTGCCGGACATCGTGGTTATACAAGTTTTTTCGCAATTGTTATCAGTATTTTCGGAATTGGACCGGACAGTTTTAGTATTTGAGGACGACGTTTGATCAGCCGCTTCCGTATTGTTATTGGTGGACGCTCTCCTCTGGGAATCCCTCGTAGCTGTCCTCACGTCGAAAATGCTACATTCACTTTCTAAATCACTACCCTCCAGTTGGAGCATATTCAACTGCAAACAGACATCTTCTAAATAACCCCCACAACTCATAAACCTCGCTAACAGAAACCCCACAACACAAAAACATCTCTAAGGGAAGCAACCCCAAAAACAACGAACTCTTACAACACAAAGACCTCCCTAAAAGAACCCCACAACACAAGATTCTCCGTAAGAGTATTCCCAACACGGGAACCCTCATAACACAACTCACAACTCAAAAAAAAATGTCAACTCAAAAAACTTCACTAAGAAAACCCCATAATACAAAAACAACCCTAGGGGAACCCCATAACACAAAAACCTCCTTGAGGGACCTCTACAACACAAAAAAAGACCTTAGGAAACTCCCATAACATAAAAACATATTTGAGAGAATCCCCCACAAACAAAAGGTCCCTCGGACATTTTATAGTGGAAACCTTCACAACTAAAACACCTCCCTAAGCATAAAAACAAAAGAAAAAGTATCACAAACCTGCCGATTGTTAGGAAACAATTCACTGGAGTCTGATCCACAACTTGAACTCTCGCTGAGATCAGTGGTGAACTTCCTCTGTGCTCTTGGACTCGGAGGCGGTCTCCTGGTGCACACTTGGGCTTGGATATGCTCACAAACGCGTCTAAATCTTCTTATATTACCTTCAAAAACGAAAAACCGTAACGAGGGGTCTAATAATCGTCCCCCCTATCATCAATTTACCTGATAACAAAGTGAACGTAATGGCAAATAGCTGTTCTTTGGTGTTATCACAGCTTTGTTGTTTCGTAATCGACGAAATGTCGACCTGAAACCGGACCTGTCTTTGGAACATGGCCGGACCTGTCGTGCCTCTCTTATATTCGACCCTGAAGGACATCGGACTGGACACAGAGTGACTCAGTTCCGCTATCTGCAGAGGACGAAGAAAAAAATTGTGTGGAATCGTTACTAGGGATATGCGGTGGTCGCGTCTTACCGAAAGAAACGCGTGGATCAAATCGGCTTTGACGGTTGATAACGGTTTTCCTTTCACTAATATAGTGAAAGTTTCGTCCTTTTCGGTCGTCATCAGGCTACCAAACCACGACTTTTTCGTCAACTCGGGCGACGATTCCGGCGTCAGATGGACTTCTTCGGATGACGCTACAAGCGTTGCAGTAAAATTTTATTAAATCTAAAAACCCGGCAACTAGTGGTTCATAAACCCGACGATGCATACAACATGCACCTAACGATTTATAATTAAAACATACGAACGTATGCGAACGGAAAACAAATGGCGGAGAACAGAAGCATTTAGATTAAGAAATAGGAGACATACTTTGCAGTTTCCGCCTGTGGAACCTAGGAGAGCCCAGGAAGCTATTTTTAATGGTATTGAGTCTAGATCGCCAATGATGGCTCGCTTGAGTTGTGGAATGGGGTGATCCAGGTGGGGTAACCGGCGCAAGAATGCCTGTACCTGCAAATTCAAGGTTACAAATGTTCCAGGGCCGCCACGTCTACACTACTACTACGTTAACGTTTTGTCTATGGCGTCTGGTACCTGAAAGTAAACTTGTGGTGTCGCTTTCTGGTGAAGTAAGGGTTGAGAGTAGAGGCGGCCCGCTGTTGGTGTTGCCCCCCTGACTGTTGGCTCGCTGATGGGTAGGAGTCGAAAGAGGGGGTGTGATCGTGACCGAAGTGTTCGCGGAGATGTGAGAAGTACGATGAGGATGGTGAGCAGTCGGTCTCGGACTTATTGATGTTGACATTATCGCTGTACAATAAATAACAAAAGTTTTGTATTTGCCCCCCCCCCTCCCAAAGAGCGTAGCATAAAGAGCACTAACAAGACCTAGACCTAGACTTAATCTGCAAGATAGAGATAGTCATGATTTTGGCAAAAATGCGACCCCAAAATCATCACAAAATTCATAATCTGCACGATTAAGACGATTGTGGTTTTGGTCTATGTCGTGCTCATTCGTTCATACCATGTGTGTTGGAAGTCGGCGGTGAATTATTGAATGGTATGGGACTGGATGACCCCGAGGACCGCGTAGGTGAATGGACGCTGAGACTGCTGTGGGTGCTTCCGGTGGAAGGACTTCTCCGACTATGGTGTCTGCCGCTAAAGACACAACGTGAGAAGTAATTTTTGCGTAATTTTTCAATCACTTACTTAAAATGTGATCTCCGAGGGGTGATGGGCGAACCCTCGCTTATCTGGCCGAACTGCAACGGATTCGAACCGTTCACCCTGCAAGTGTCGATCCTCTTCCTTGGAGGATCTGACGCTTCCGTACTTCTTATTCTTAAAACAGAATCAGTCTCATCTTCGTAAGCTGGACGCCTTCGTTTTCTTTCCAGAAGGAGGAAGTATATCACCTTTTCCGTATTATGACTGCAAAACAGAAAACACAGTTGCACTCCTTGCGTTCCCAAACTTCTTCCAGTCTCACCTTGGACTTAGTAAATGCTGAATTAACTTCTCTTTCTCTTTAAAACAACCTAAACTACAAATTGCTTGTAAAACGTCCGGGTCTACCGCCTCAATGGAGGGCAGCACGTGAGTTTGCACCACCTCCATCATCGGTAACTCCAACTCCAACTCGCCCTTTCCTCCCGCCGTTACCCATGGGTGTTTATTTATTTCAGTTAACTTAAAAAAAATTACATTAAAAGACTGTCGAACGTTTTCTGAACGTTTTCGAGGGACTTACTGTAAGTCTTTTTTCGGGATTAACCTCAATCATGCCTCGCAATAAGCTCTGACAATCGGGAGGTACGAAGTGGGGTATGTGAAACACTCCTCTTTTAACTTTTTCTAACAGCTGTCGTAAATTGTCGTCGTCAAAGGGCAGAGCGCCCACCAAGAGGGCGTACAGAATTACACCACAGCTCCATACGTCGGCTCTTCTACCATCATATTTTTCACCCTTATCAATCAAGAAAAAAAAAACGATTCCCACAATTGGAACGAAACAAAGTATCTTAAGAATAAGGATAGAATACAATGGGATTCCTCCAACTTTGTCAAGACGTGAACAATTTTTCGATGAGGGAGGAGAGACGCCTGTTCTTTTGTCTTGTTTGGTTACCGCCAATAACAAAAAACCTACTCCGCCCATAAAACTTTGGGGGAGGAGAAGCGCGTTGTTCTTTTGTTTTAATGGTTACCGCCCAAAACAAAAAACCTACTCCGCCCATACAACTTTGAGGGAGGAGAAGCGCGATGTTCTTTCGTTTTAATGGTTACAGCCCAAAAAAACAAAAACCTACTCCGCCCATACAACTTTGGGGGAGGAGAAGCGCGCTGTTCTTTCGTGTTAATGGTTACCCCCCAAAACAAAAACCTACTCCGCCCATACAACTTTGGGGGAGGAGAAGCGCGCTGTTCTTTTGTTTTAATGGTTACCGCCTAAAACAAAAAAAAACTATTCCGGCCGTACAACTTTGGGGAGGAGAAGCGCGCTGTTGTTTTGTTTTAATGGTTACCGCCCAAAACAAAAAACCTATTCCGCCCGTACAACTTTGGGGAGGAGAGACGTGTTGTTCTTTTGTTTTAATGGTTACCGCCCAAAACAAAAACCTACTCCGCCCATAAACCTTTGGGGGAGGAGAAGCGCGCTGTTCTTTTGTTTTATTGATTACCGCCCATAACAAAAAACCTACTCCGCCCGTACAAATTGAGGGAGGAGGGGCACTCCGCTCTCTTGGTTTGTTTGTTTACCGTCCGAAGTTTTTGGTTTTCAAGCAATTGTTGATTATCTACTCAACAAAATATTAATTGCTTTTTATTATCGTCGTTTACATTTCAGCTAGGGCTTATAAATTAAAGTGATTTCGAAGCTCAGCTGTCTTGTTCCAAAACTCATAAAAGTGGGTCAAATGTCGCGTTACCCGTGTTATATGTTTCGTAAAGATCATTAATGGATGTAAAAAATGCCTTTTATATCGATAAACTTTGTTCGCGAAACCATCTCGCCAAATCCCCCTCAAAACTCGAGTTAAAGTTTGATGACTGTTTCGAACTTAAATACAAACTTATTTACGAGTCATGACATTTCAAATGAAGGCGCGTAGGGTCACATAAATAAACACTTGACAAAAATATATGCCGGGTGAATATAAGTTAAAACCACCATCAGTAAATTATTAGACTTCTTTGATAAATAACAGTTCTTACCCTTATAACTTCAGGGCAAGCGTAATGGGGTGACCCACAACTCGTTTCGAGCATTGAACCCATCGGTTGCAACGATGCCATTCCGAAATCGGCAATTTTAATGTTGTTTTTTTCATCCAAAAGAAGATTTTCAGGTTTTAGATCTCTATGACTAAAAATACATGTAGTTAGACGTTTGTGCGCATATTTTTTAACTGCACCTTGTATTATGAGAACTTACCATATCGAATGGCTATGACAAAAATCCAAAGCCGAAATAATTTGTCTAAAAAATCTACGAGCTTCTTTAGGGGTGAGACGTCCCTTTTTTACCAAGTAGTCAAATAACTCACCCCCAGACACGTGCTCCAATACTAAATATCTGCAGAATACCGATTTTTTATAAATAAATCGTCAAAAACAATAAACAAAACAATAAAAATGTGCGATTATTAACTAAATAAGAAAAAAACAAAACATACAAATAAAAGACGATAAAATAAAATAAATCGTAGACAAAAACAAAAACGATTGTATTTTGTTATTCAAACTTACAAATACTTTTTGTTTTCGTAAACATCCGATAATCCTAACACGTGAGGATGATCGATTAATTTCATTATTGCAATTTCTCGTTCGACCTAAAAACAAAGACAAATTAGAATCACTTTAAAAAGCACTTCCATATGATGCTAAAACAATAACTATATCTAACAATTTTCAGGTAAAAACAAAATGTTATGTAAATCATTTGGAATGATGTACCACACGCGCTAGAATTGCAAATTAATTTCATGCTGTGGTGGTGAAAAAATGTTAACTAGGACAGAGGTCATGTCATTTACATGGAACTGGAGCTTTCATAAAAAATTTACAGGGAAATTACAGATACGTATTTACAGCGTGTACACATTCAAATGAAAAAGTATCTTCTAGTAAAGAAAAAAGTATTTTCAAACAAAAAAAAAAATGGTCTTGTACATCCAGCATAAAATTACCTTCATTAAAACACTTTCACTTAGTTTTTCTCGATTAATTATTTTTATAGCTACTTTTTTACCACTAACACAATGGGTCCCCAACTTGACGAGCCCTTAAAAATAAGAAACATTCTTTTGTTTTTGTTTGAAGGAATATATTGTATATCACCTTTTCCGTATTA